AAAAAACGAAAAAATTCTTAAAACTGGGTCCATTGAACTTGTTCCTTGGATTCAGAAAATCACACTAAGTATTATGTTGCGCGGTTATTTAGGGTTTGACTCCAATATCTACCAAGTCATTAGTGACATTCCTAAAATCATAAACGACCTTTGGACTAAGTCGAGAGAATACGATAATAATAAAGAATCAATCCAGCAATCAATAAGTTCGCTTAAAAGATTCTTTTATAATGCTACCTTAATTTCACAAACCAAAGACAATAACACCAATGTTATAAAGGAAATGTCAAAAATAGCTCAGAAACATTTAAATGATATTCAGGAATTACCACAATCAACCTCCGAATTTATTAATCCTACAGCAGACGAACTTAAAACTCCGTTGAATATTGTTCTTCCAGCATATGAAACAATGTGGAGGGTTCTTTTATATGCAATTTTAGAAATTAAAGTTCGTGAAATTTTGCTGTCCAAAAACAACTTGAAAAGGAAAAACGATAAATACTTTAAGAATCTAAATAACTCAATTGATACTTTTCTAAAAAATCCATCTCATTCTACATTAAGAACAAATCAATTAGACCTTATAGTTAAAGAAACCTTGAGATTATATCCCGCAACACGTCACTTATATCGAACGCAAAATGAAAAAAAATATGGGATAGACATAGAAGCGATCCAACGTGACACCACGGTTTGGGGTGATGATGCATTATGTTTCAAACCGGAACGATTCGAAAACCCTAACGCGTCATCTTCTCCATCATATATTCCTTTTTCTGTTGGCAAAATGAAATGCATAGCAGCCAATAAATTTGCACCAACAGTGGCAGCTATCCTTATTGCAGCCGTTTTGTCATCAGTTGACATTGTAGATGTTGTAGAAAATGAAGCAGTTGAAAAATATCTAAAAAATCCTTATTTGACTTTTGACAACTCTCGTCTGGCTTTTGATAAGATGATTGTGAATGTTACAACACGCTGAAGTTAGACGGTTATAAAACGCTTTGCGTATACCGTATATCGCGGACTATAGTACCCGGATACGATACATCCCACAGCTAAAATCCGAAAAATTTTTATAGAGGGTACTTTGATGTGAGGGGTACTATGGTCCGCGCTGTACGGTATATTTTATATTTACTAGATGAAAACATTGTAATACTATCCTCTTTCCCCTTGAAGAATATGGTATCATTTTGAAAATTCATTTAATTCCAATTTTCCACGTGACAACTATCAACTATTTATATATTTTTTACATATTTAGCCATTATAGGTTGACTTTTTTTTAGTTTTCTTTATTATTGTTAATAGCATTTATGCATCATTACAAACTGTTTATGCAATCTTTGTGGTCACGAAATAAACATATAATATATACATGTATATACATTTTTTTGATTTTGAAATATATTTTTATATTTTGACGCATATACACTGCACTTGTACGTATCATGTGAATCTAAAGTTTATGCCAGGCGTTTTAATGTCAATCGACTTACGTACGTACGTACGTACATGCATTTATGCAAGTGATAGAAATCCCCAAAAAAAAGGAAGATAGACAGACATCTTGGATCTGCCTAACGCTTGTGCACAAAGTAAGGAAAAACAAAAACTCATTACTAATTAAAAATGAATAAAATTTCATATATAGAAATTCATTATTTTTCCTGCTTATAATCTCCGATCCTAATATCCTAACAAAATATTTCTTGCTTAAATTTTTATTATTATCATTTGCAAAATAAGTATTTTTCCTTCAATATGTTGGGAAAAATTACAAAAGGATTGATAGAAAATGTATTTTCGCTTTGCTAATAAGGTCGCATTAATATTAATACAAAGCACTCACTTTCGTTAATCCCTCCCCATTTTTTATATTAAAGGCAATAAGTGTTATGTATGTTGTAATCGTTATTTATGTCTAATAAATCGTAAATATTGATTATGACAAATATTACGCTTCGGTATGCTTATTATATTATAATGTATGTAAAGAGCGTCTTTCGCTTCATCATGTAAGCATCTTTGCCATTCTCATTTAGGGTCTTTGCAGTAAAAAAAGCCTAAATGCTATATATATTATATATAGCATTTATGCCCTTTCTACTGCAAAGCCCCTATTTTGTTAAATAAATAAAGACAAATACAAACAAATGCATATAATTTCAAATACAAGTCCATGACCCTTAACCCTTTTTCAAATGCAGTATAGCATAATCATTATTATATTATCCTCTCATTCGACTATTACATACCACAGCGTAGCCCTGTATTACTACGCACATGACTCCCAGTCTTAGTTGTTCGTTGACCTCAGTCTTTGATTGCAATAGCTATTTCAATTTCCGTTTTCTGTTTCTTATTCTGCTTCTATATCAAATCAATCAACCAGAAGAAGTCAAAAATAAAGAAAATGTAAAAACATGAAAATGACAATCTTGGTGCTCTACTGCAGTCAGGCACATTACCAAAAATGGCAATCGATTCTAGATCGTTCCATTTAATTTTGATTGGCTTACAGCCACATTT